GTGTGTTTGTATCGATGCAGTGTGTTTGTATCGATGCAGTGTGTTTGTATCGATGCAGTGTGTTTGTATCGATGCAGTGTGTTTGTATCGATGCATTGTGTTTGAAAGCTTTCAGCACCTTTTCTGCTGAATTCTCTGTTTAAAATGACATTTTGATGTCAAACTCATGCACGAAACCGCTCCTCTGCTTTTGCTCCTTATCTAATTATTAACCTGTAAACTCAAATTCCTTTTTTAGTTATTTTCTCTGCAAATTTTCTTGTTTTTTTTTTACTCTGTCATCACTTTTTTCTGTTAMTATTTATTTTTCATTTAGCTTTGCTGCTTCTTGTCTTATGTTTTGTTTCCTGTCTTGTGTCCTTGCTGTCAGAAGGATGTCAGAGGTGGAGAGGAATGGCAGACCTGAGGGGTCCAGGTAGGTCTTCCAGGTGTTAGTAGGATGTACGCAGCCAATCGTAGAGCAGTTAGGTGCAGAACGGACACTGTTCTGGTGTTTATTTATTTATTTGTCCYCCTCAGTTAGAGACTGTCCTCCTCACCCATTCTCTGTCTCTTTTTTCCTCAGCCGTAACGTGACGTCCGATCAGAGGGAGGAGCCTGCCTCCCCGGCCGCTCCCCACCTGAAGGACGCCAAGCCACGCTCCCTGAGGTTCACCTGGAGCATGAAGACCACGTCCTCCATGGAGCCCCTGGACATGATGAGGGAGATCAGGAAGGTCCTGGACGCCAACAACTGCGACTACGAGCAGCGAGAGAACTTCCTGCTGCTCTGCGTCCACGGGGACGGGCACGCCGACAGCCTGGTCCAGTGGGAGATGGAGGTGTGCAAGCTGCCMCGCCTCTCGCTCAACGGCGTCCGCTTCAAGCGCATCTCGGGCACGTCCATCGCCTTCAAGAACATCGCCTCTAAAATCGCCAACGAGCTGAAGCTGTAGATGCACAGGTACAGGGAGGGACAGGTGGAGACGGAGGACGGACAGACGGATGTCTTCTTGCGTCGAGCAGCTCACTGAGACACATTAATCTGACCTGAGACATTAGTGATTTCTGATTGGCTGCAGTTTGATGCACTTGATTGGCTGTTTAACTCTCTGTCTGTCTGCTGATTGGACAGTCGTCTGTCTGTCTGTCTCACTGTCTGTCTCTCTGTATCCCCCCCCCCCCCAGCCAGGGCAGCACCTGGATGAGTGGACTTTAATGCAAAGGATCATGGGACTCTGAAGCCCAGCTGTTACTTTTTAATGTTCAAAAAGCCTCCGCAGACACCGACCTGTGAGTGTTTTTGACTCCGCCCGCCCCACAGGCCGGCGGGCGGAGTCACGTGGCCAGGTTAGCGTGTTTGTGAATGTAAATAGTTTCTCACCTTGTTTTCATGTTGATTTTTGTACATGTGAGCAGCCAGCTGATCCTCAGCTGGTTGTTGATCTGAACCTCAGGCTCACCTGTGTCTCATTAAACACGTTGAACGCACCGCAGCTTCCTGTCCAGCTTCTGGAACGATTAATTTACAGACGGACGTCTGGACGGCAGAGGTCTCACCAGTCCACCAGATCCCTGCTGGATCTCTTGTCTCAAGCTGGGCTCCTCACTTCCTGTCCGAACAGGAAGTCTGGCTCCTCGTCTGTGGTTTAATTTCAAACAGCTCCATCCGTAAATCGCAGATTCACAGCAGCAGTTCTCTTCATTAAGGTGAGATAAAAACTATTAGCAGTAATTATTACTCAGTAATTTAAATATCTCATATTTCTGAGTCACTAGCTGCGTTTCCATTGACCATGAAAATGCGCAAATTAGAATTTCGAAAATAAATTTGCTCAATGGAAACACGTCAATTTCTAAAAAAAATCACGTTTTTCGACAAAATGTTTTTGCGCTAGGATGAGGTGGTTTTTCGGTCGTATCGAAATG